CAATCTTCCATGCAACCAAGTAATTAGATTTGAACTTAGCATTAACTCCCAATAATATCCAAGAATATGAATATCATAATTTTGTTCAAATCCAACTAGATGCCAAATTTACCAACAATAAAGAGTCTTTTAGACAATAATTAAATTCTTATCCTTTCATCACCTCTTAACATAATTTAGATCAAAAATATAGGATATGAGCAAAATGGGTACCAAAGATACAATAAAATAGGGGTATAGAACAACAAATAACTCTAACAAAATGAGAGTTATCACATATCATTGGTTCATGTTGGCTAACTCTCTAAACTCATGGGGTTTGTTTATTTTGAAGAACCCTCTATTTGCAAAAAAGTTGTCTATATAAAAAAATCAATATATCAATACAAAAGAAAGCTATAAAATAATAAGGTGGCATCATTAAAACCAAATATTTTTAAATTTCTTGTATTATGGTTGGATTTTGGGTATCCACATTGATTAGAAATTGATACATCAATGATGAAAATGAGTATATAAGATAAATATGAGTTCCCTTTGAAAATTAAAAGGTTCATTTGGCTATATAAGCCATGTTTATGTTTAAATGTTTGGAGCAATTGTCTAAATTTACGTTATTGGATCATTTTGACTGAACTTTTAAATATATGCGGTTGACTTATTTTGGCCAACCTTTTTTTATGAAAAAATTAATCTAAACTAAATATTAATTGAAGAGATAATTTTAATATGTTTTTGAAAGTAAGAAGCGGAACCGTTGATGCGGCACCGTGGTAATTGAATATTCTTCAATCTTGAATTGTGATTGAGTTTTATATATCCCACATTGATTGAGAGTTGAAAGATTGACAAAAATGTTGGATATGTAAAATGAGGTCGAGATGCCTTTGTGACAACTCATGAGGTTGGTTCCTCTTGATTGATTCTCTTAACACCTGTGGTTAGAGCATTTTGGCCGACTTTCCGAACACATGAGATTGATTCATTTTGGCCAACTCTTTTTTTGCAAGAAGGGTTAATCGATATTAAAAATTAATTATATATATAATCTATTCTTTCTTTATATAAAAGTAAGAACCACAACCATCAATGTAACACCCTAAGATTGAGTATTCTTTAATCATGAATTGTGATTGAGTTTTGTCTATCTCATATTAATTGGTAGATAAAATGTTGATACTGAATGATAAATAAATAAATAAATAAATAAATATTGATATGTCTCTTTGGCAATTCATAGGACTGACTCTTTTGAATGATTCTCTAAACTCATGGTGCTTAACTTATTTGGCTGACCTTCCCTAACATAGGATTTTTAGTTAATCATCTTTTTACCAAAAAAAAATCTATATTAAAAGTTAAATAAATAAATTACTTAAATTAATATATAACGCTATAAGATAATAATGTGATAAATTAGAATTTAATATTTTCAAATCATGAATTGTAATTGAATTTGACTTGAATCTTAATCCATATCAATGAGAAAAGAAATTATTGAAAAACAGTTAATTAGTATATGAAACGAGAAGGGATGACTTGAAATATTGGAAGAGTTACAAATGCACCATGAAAATTTAGTATTTTCAGTTTTGAAGTATATAGGAATATTGATGTGGTTCACAATTTTTTATATATTACTTGATATGTATTATGATCACCGTGCAAAGCACGGTGCCGAACACTAGTTAATATAAAAGATAAATAAGCAAAACAAATAAAGGTTATATCTGTCAAAATTATAATTTTCCTTTATTTTCCTTTCTTCTCGAAAACACAAAAACTTGTTTTTTTCTTTTCCTTTCCCCTTTTCGAGAACACAAACAATTTTTTTATTTTCTTTTCCTTTCTTCCACTTCCTTTCTTTTCCTTTTCTTCCGAGAAAACAACATAAGTTTGGTTCATGAGGTTTAGCGAAATATTTGAAATCGGGACGTGAACTTTGATAAGTCTAGAAATCGTCCTTGTAGTTCTCATTTTATTTTGAAAGTGGTCTCTCATCACTAAACTCCGTTAAGAATGTCTGTTAGAATGAAGGGCACTTCTACCTTTTTACTAGTTTTCCTAGTTATCTTTATAAAAAATAAAAAAGTATATTATATTATGATATATATATATATATATATATATATATATGTAGGGTATATTTCTCTTACAACCTTGTGTATTTGTATAACCCTTGCAACCCAATTAATTAAGATATTTATGGAAATGATGGGAGTTCATTTATTATGATTTGAATATTTATGGAATATGAATATAGTTCATTAATTATGATTAATATTTTATATTAGGAAACAATCAAAACTTCTATGAAATCACATATTCATCAAATGAAATAGACGGTTGAGATTGGGTTATATTGGTTGCACAAATATCAAAGGTTTTATAATAACCAACCTCTCTCTCTCTCTCTCTCTCTCTCTCTCTCTATATATATATATATATATATATATATATAGTTTGTTTAAAATGCAACTCATCACATTTGTATAATCAATGCAACCCAATAAATTGAAATATCTATGAAAATAATGAGAATTCATTTATTATGATTTAAATATTTATGGAAGATGAATAAGGTTCATTAATTATGATCAATACTTTATATTAGAAAACAATCAAAACTTCTATGAAATTACATATTTATCAAATTAAATGGACGGTTGAGATTAGGTTGTATTGGTTGTACAAATGTAAGGGGTTGTATAATAATTCACCTATATATATATATATATATATATATATATATATAGGGGAGCGATCAAATGAAAACCACTCTAATTTGTAAAAACCGTAAAAACTACTCTCATCTATCGTTAATTTTATGAAATTTTTTCATGAAATTGTTAATCTTGTGAAATTGTTTCATATAATACTTTTTTTGATGAAGTTATTTCATATGTGGTTATGAAATTGTTTTATATACTACTTAATGAAATTTTAATGAAATTGTTTCATGTATTTCTCTAAAATTAAAACAATAAAGATGATAATATCCATGATTAACACCCTCCACAATAAAAATGGTTAATCAACCTCATAATTACAAAAAAAAATGAACAAAATGAAAAATTATGATTGGTTGAATGAGGTTTTCACGGTTTTTACAAATTGAGTG